TGTAATTTCTAGTCAAATCTTACATAAAAATCAAACTTTAAGGTTACAAAATTAAAGGCAAGAGACCACTACCTTTTATAGACAAGTCAATCCTCTCTATCTCACCTCATTTGCCGATGTGGGACAAAAAGAAAATATATTGGTTTGCCTTTGTCTTTGAACTGCTCCCCATCCTCTCTCTTTTTNTTCATATAGTCACCAAAATAGTGTGATAATAAAGAGTGAATTCACTAATAAATATAAAATCTTCAAATTGCTACTCATTACATACAGTTTATAAATAGTATGTCAACAAAAAATGAATCCAAACATTACCCCAAATTTTGAAAATTTATCTAAACCGAATTTTTAAATTTGCTATAGAGTGACTTCATAGTGTGACACTATACATAAATTTAATGTAAATGATAAAAATTGCTAGAATAAAATTAATTTCAATTTTAACATACATTTGATTTATCATAAAAGATTATTACATAATTTACAATACAAATAGGGTTTATGCAATATAATTTTTTTTTGGGGGAGAAAGAGAAAAGACTTGAATCATTGACTTCAAAAAAAACAAATCATTCACAAAGTAAGAAATATCATTGAACAAAAAGCTTATTAGTATATATTATAAGTTTTGATGGTTTTAAGTAAAATAAATAAATAACAAACAAAATCCTTACCGTTAATTGTCGATGCTAATAGAGTGATGTCGACTTTCTTTGCTGCTTAAAGAAAGAAACAACGTTCGCTGATCTTGAATAGAAATACTAAATCATTGTATCAGAGCAATTCTTTTGTTTCACACAAAATGTTGAAATTGTCCTCAATATAGGACTCCGTAATTTCTGTAACAATGTAATCTATTTTTTTGTTAATTAAAAAAAAGGAGTCAACAACTCCATTGTAAAATGGAAGCAAGATCAATAATCCCACTTTTAAAAAACATCGTAGTCTAATTTCAAAAATGTTGTGTATAGATAAATAAGTTTAAAAAACAATTCTATTGGGGTAAATAACTCAAACAAGAAGACCACTAACGTAAGCTAAACGGCATAAAATACTTACTCTTCAAAAGTCAGTCAAAGTGAAGATCAAAAATCTGGAACCTCACGTAGGACCCACCCCAAGAACATTTCACTTCTCATCAACCCATAGGATTCATGATTTCTGAGAATAGAGTCCTATTTTTTATTTTGTCACTGTTGGCCGTTGATCTTAACACGTTTTCATCGTCGTTGGTCGTTAATTCTCCATGCAGAGGAGGAGTAGAGGGAGTAACCCACCACCACCGCCACTCTGACCCATCATCTCAACCTCCTCTTGAAGTTGCAAAGCAAACTCAAGGCCTCACAAAACATTATTTATTCTTGGTCGTTTGAACCCATTTTCACGCAAGCAACTATCACCTAATTCTCCAAACTTCTTCAAGCACTCTGNAAAAAAAAAAAAAACAACTTATAAGGATTATAAATATTTAAATTGAATCTATGATAAATTTTAATGGAAAAAATTGAATCAATGACANATGATAAATTTTAATGGAAAAAGTTGAATCTATGACAAGCTTATTTGTGCTAAGAATCTATCACAACTTATGGGTGGTAGGTTTGGTTGTAAGAGAAGGCTTCTAGTGCTTGACAAAATTAATAAACAGACTGGATTAGTGTTAACACACTTAACATACTTAATTACATGAGTTATTTTAGAATTAATTAATACTCGACTCAAATTCGAAGTCCCATCACATGATTCGAATGCCTTCGTTAGTTGCAAAAGNAGTATTGGGCGGCTATAACACGTTCCCAAGTCAGCTTTCATAATTTTTTCCAAAGCCCTACATTTCTAATTCATCAATTATATTTTTATGGGAGTTCAAATGAGCCACTTTTGGAAAATTTCTAGAATTCGAGGAATGCTTATGAACTTAAAAAATTAATATAATTTATTAATATAATGATATATACATCACGAAATCTCAATAAAAAAGTTTAAAAGTTGTGATCATAATAACATTATTAAATCACTTCATTGTTACATCATTAGATCAATAAATTAATTTAATTTTCTAAATAACAGTAGTATTACTAATTGAGTTGTCACATCATTAATTTTAACAAATTAGGTTAATTTTTTAAATGACAATAGTATTACTAATTGAGTTCAACTCAAAAGTTAATTTAAGAGTAATGGTAAATGAGATTAAAAAATTTGACTTAATTTATTACCCTAATAATGTGACTTCGTTGTAATCGTTATATTAACACAAAATTTTAATGTTTAATGTGTTCCACAATTAATTCAATGATTATAGTGAATTAGATCGGTAAAATAAGTGANTTAAACATAAAATCACAGATTCATAAATTAAATAAACATGCAAATATATCAAATAAACTCAATCGAACTTAGATCAAAAATAAGTTTAGAATAGCCTGGATTTAGGT